GCAGAGAACGAGTTTAACGAGGGGAACGTTTGGCTCCGGCGTGTATTCGAGAGGTCCATCCATTCGGCGGAGGAGGTGTCATGGTGTGGGATGGTATTTGTGGAGATCAGAAGACTGATTTGGTGATTATACAGGGAAACCTGAACGCTGTGCAGTACAGAGACCAAGTATTGCAGCCAGTTGTGCTTCCGTTCTTACAAAACCAACAGCAGGGGACATTGTTTCAACACGACAATGTCAGGCCCCATACTGCAAGACTGACTCGGAACTTTCTAAACCAGCAGAACGTTGACGTTTTGCCCTGGCCTGCCCACTCACCCGATATGAATCCTATTGAACATCTGTGGGACCAACTTGACAGACAGATAATTAGAGCACGCCATCAGCCTCCCGTCAACAGACAAGAATTGCAGCAGGCCCTGAGAGACGAGTGGCAACGGATTCCAGTCCACGTCATCAGAAGACTGACGTCATCGGTGAGGCGGCGTATCACAGCATGCATTGAGGCAGCTGGAGGTCATACACGCTATTGAAGGCAACTGTGTCGCCAATGAACTTGTAGTTTGTCTGACAATTTTTTGGTGACATTTCAGACAACTTTTGAAAATATAAATTTCTTACCCCACCATTGTTTACCTTGAGCTTACATTACCTGTGATTGCACAATTTCATTCATACTGTGGTTGATCAATCATTTGTTACCCCTCCCTAGATTATAATTATAATTCACAACAAAACCTCTTCTTGTTATTTTTTTATCGATCATGGAACTCGACCTATACTTTCTTTTGCCGCCCAGTTTAAGACAATAGATCTATAATTATATTTATGTTTCCATGTAGATGAGCAGAAGACATAATAAAATATTTCATTAAGTTATGATCATAAAATGAATATGAATGTGATCCTTGAAATTGATCCTTAAAAATGTGAAAAATATTGACACCTCAGAAATGAGGGCTTTTAAAGTTATAATTCTACCTAACTTGTCACATGGTTTGACTAAGGTCTATCAAAGAATGGTCCTTATGCAAATCTTTTTTTAAAATGTGACACTGACAATTTCTGGCACTTAACCAAAGCGTATTCAAGGAAAGACAAATATGTTTTTGATTGAAAATATGACTTTCCTTTATAGTTCTTGTTTCATGATGACAGGGCAACTTTTATACACACTAGCTGAGGAAGTTGTGATACTGTGGTTGCATACAAAGGAAAAAACAGGTTGGAAGCAGTAGCTGTATGTATAAAATAGACCACATAAGGTGAACTAAAGTCATGGGGCGTGGCTGACAGGAAAAAATACATCTGGCAAGGGTAAACGGTACACAGGCACATTTCTTTTCACTCCAACCAGAAGACTGAGACAAACAGAACATGATAAGGACCCTTTCTGACTGGATATTCTGAAACCCATCAAAAGATCAAGGATGTCAGATCCAAAGCTGGTGATGGTCTGCATTTATGTTAAATCTTTTTATACATCATACTGACTGATACACGAAAACCTGTTGACCACAGTCCACAATGGTTTATGTTCCTTCAGGGACACGAGGCTCACTGTCAGACATCCGAGCATATTGCAACAAACCTGGAATGTCCGGCCAGACTAATTACACATTATTTCATCGGTGAGAACACAGAACAAATACATGTATAAGGTAGGATATTTCCATGTACGTTTCTCCAACAGAACAGAACTGCAAGATTTGTCAATATGCCCTGTTTCTTTTTCAAAAGATAGCATTTTCTTATAAACATATGGCTAACTCACCAGCTTATGTGCCACCTGGTCCTTGTGATTAAACAAGCAAAAATTTCATGTACTGTTACAAGTATTTAATGTATCACATTCCTATTACAAATATATTTTAGAAATGTTTTATTTGGAAACAAACCACTTAATGCACAAGATGAATGTCCATATGAGTTTATTATGTATATGTTAAGGATCTGATCGATTTATTTATTATTCATAGAATACTAAAATTAAATGACATCAAATAGTTACTTATTCACATAATTGATGTTCAGAGTGAAAGATAATTATTGTAGAATAAAATATCTTGAAACTAAAGATAATAATTGAAGTTTGTGCACTCAATTGTTATGATGCATTGACCAATATTTAGTGTCCATACATACAATCATTGTGGAAAGAATAACTAGATCTACTAAATATAAAAATATAACACAAAATTTTAAAACCTGTAAACAGCTGTAAATAATTAAACAATTACAAATCTATAATCAATACGCAACCATGGCGGTCTTCATATTTTTTTAATTAATTTAGAAATGCTTCGTGAAATTGTTCTAAAATTATGATAGAATCTATGAATGTATTATGAAAGGACATGGAGTCTGTTTTTCAATATTTTATATTTCACTTACTGTTATCGTTACCTTTTGCAAATTAACACGCTTTGTCATACAAATATGTGATAAATCATGTATAAAGGAGATGTTGAATTGCTGAAGAATAAAGCGAAAATGTCAAAAACTAAAATAAAAATGTCAAAAACAAAAACGAAAAGGTCAAAAACTAAATGAAAATACAGAAAACTATTTCCACCGCGGTGGAAATAGTTTTCTGTATTTTCATTTTAGTTACCACCCCTGGACGAGATCGCTACATACGACTGTTCCTCCAACGTCATCGCAATGCCACAGCTGCGGAGACTGCAGGACGCATCCCTGGTTTGAGGAGGATATCGGACCAGACTGTCAGGGACTATCTTCGCGAGGCTGGAATCCAACTCGGAAGACAGTACAGTTATCGTCCCTGTTTGCAACAGATCCATCGACAGCGACGCTGGCGTTGGTGCCATACCTTACAGCCTTGGAATTTGAGAAACTGGAGTGTGGTTTAGCTATGCCCTGGCCGTCGAGATCTCCAGATCTCAACCCAATCGAACACCTCTGGGATGAACTCGATCGACGTGTACGTCAACGTCAGAACACGCCGCAGACGCTCACGCAACAGGCCAACGCGTTACAAGCAGAATGACGCAGGACAGAATTCGTACACTTATCCAGTCAGTGCCGAGGAGATGCAGAGCCGTGATTGCTGCCCGGGGCGGTCACACGAGATACTGAGTTCAGCGCAACCTTGTGGCCTTATGTGACATGACAATGAACAGTTTTCAATGCCATTGTTCAACGACAACATGTGACTATCGATCTCCAAACTTTCATATTTGTATCTATGATATTAAATTAAATATATCGACTTTATTAGGTACAATACATTTACTAAAAATCTACCTGTGCGTTTCTTATTTTGAAGAGTGTACGTTAGGTAACTGTAATAGGGTTCAGTTAACCCAAGGACGCAGTTACGACAGTATATGGAAGTATAGGAATCCCAACAAACGGGAATATACAAGGCAACAAATTGTTGATGGTGTCATCAAGCAGAGAGGTACAGATTTGATTCTTATATACAGATCACTTATATGTTTCATAATGAATTGCTGTTTAAAACCTTCAACTATTAGTGGCCATAACATCAACTGTCTCCTTATCAATTTCAGTAAAGTAGAGAGGGGACCAAGTCTGTGTATTCTTAACAATAAACTATCAGAAGATGCTGATTTCATTCAAAACAATGTTCATGATAACATCGTTTCCAAACCTATGTCTCCAAACCATTGATTTGGTGAGATTACTCCAAACATATTGAGTTCACAACCAGATATATAAAATGTAAGGATAATAAAACTGATTCATATCTGGAGACGTGAACACCTGGTGCCCTCTCCACAGCTAACTTTCAACATGATCTAAATGTTGCATAAACAGCAAAATGTGTAGCCGCGATGTGATGCGGCCCATTGTGATGTAAGATGTTGTCTCCGAGACGAACCGTGTCATACTGCTTCATGAGCAGTGTTTCGGTAGATTCGATCGTGATTGTGTCCAGCACGGGGTGTAAGGCTATAACAAATTCAGTGAATGTTTGTCGGCATTATTTTTCAAAAGTTAACAACTTGTGGTGATGTGCTTGTTTTGCCGGAAATCATAAAACCATTACAATAATATATTTTTCTTACTTATTTTTTAGTTATTGTCCCTGTTAAAGATGCCCTTCGTTGTGTTCATAAAGCGACAAAACCCTTTCCATATCTACTATAAATATCGGCATTAAGTCGATTGTACGATTCCGACTATATCATGAGCATGTGTTTATGAATCTCTATCAAATAGTAATGATACCAGGTGTTCGCGAAAAGGTGAGCGTATCCTGCCCCACCGGTGGCACCCGTCACAAACACACGCAAAGTCAATTGTTCACCTGAGAAAACACGGGAACATATGGTACAAGTCAAAATAAGTAATATTTACCCCCTGTTTAGTCCATCAACGTAAAAAAAACAACTGCCAATATTTTTAATCATATGATAAATTAGTTCAACAGACCTCCTCCTTGGTCTAGCGGCTAGAGCCTCTGACCTCAGAGCGAAAGGTAGGTGTTCGATTCCCGTTCGCTTCATACCAAAAGACGTTAAAAGGTGGTACTTGCTGTTACCCTGCCTGGCGCTCGGCATTAAGGGGAGAATACAAGGACTTGGCGGCTCCGAGTCAGTATGCAGAGTAAGTGTGTCGCTAAATAAGTGCAGTAATCTTGAACACGACGTTAAATCACAGTTCAACTAAACTCTAAACTCAATATGTATAAGAAAAATGAAAGTCACCATTCTCACCGAGGTTAGTTCCTACTTTAAGGAACGGGGTAGGTTACTGGTTAAAGTGTTCGTTCGCCACACTGAAGTCACAAGGTTGATTCCACATGGTAAAAAAATGTGAAGCCCATATTGTCCCCACCATGATATGTGCTGGGATATGGATAGAAAAAACCTCACCGACTCGTCACTACGTCAATTACAATACGTCAATCGGAAGGTGCAAACAATGAGCCGCACAAGGTTAGAAGACATATGCCTTTGAAACATGAAAAATGACAGTGCCAGATGTGTTTTCCTTCAATATTTTATTTACATGCTTGGACGAAGACACTCCATTCTTAGCAATAAAAATCTTCAATAATGATGTAACAATATAAATACAATATAACTACAAAACAAAGAGGTGTTACACACTCACCGTTCTCACAACACAGGCACTAGAATGTAAGAACAACACCCCAAACATCGATTATCTTTCTCGCGTCATGCAATACACCTTTCACTTCATCGTCTTAGATCGCAACGCCCGCTCAGGGTAAATAATTGTTTATCATCGTCCGATTGAGTCTAAATGACATTTCATTTACTCCGTATAAGGCACGGGAGTGTGCGTGAAGTCTTTGCTTCTGTATAAGTCGCACCCCCAAGATGAGGACACTGCAAGTCCGGGGGTGGGGGCAGGGGAGCTGTAGACGGAGGGCTGTGACTGGTAGGGTGCGTACAATCCTTGGGTGACCCCGGTAGATACTGGTGGACAGTAGAAGCTTGTCTGGGTGGCATACACAGGGGACGGAGGGCTGTAGCACGGCCGGTAGGTAGGCGTCCCAACAGTAGAGGGAGTCATCGGGACGTAACCGAGGTTGTATCTGTAGCTGAGTGGTAGGTTACTCACGCACGTGTCCCGGCTCAGACTATTCTTTCTGGCACGACGACGGGCTTGACGGCGTCTGAAGTCACCGCGGGAGAAGTCGTCGATACATGCTGGATGTATGGACCAGTAGTTGCCCTTTCCGTTGTCGGCCCGGCCACTCTTGACGAAACACTCGTTGAGGGAGAGGTTGTGCCTGATGCTGTTCCTCCACGCCTTGTCCTTGTTGTTGTAGTAGGGGAAGTTGTCCATGATGTAGCTGTAGATGTCACTCAACAACATCTTCTTACCCTCAGTGCTGAGGATTGCCATGGAGATAAGAGCGATGTAGGAATGTGTCGGCTTGACTCCAGGTCGACGGTCTCTCGCTGTTGGGCCAACCGCCGTATCCTTGTCGAGGGGGGAGCTGGAGCAGGGGGCGCCTCCGTCGTCGCTGGAGATTGGGGATGGGACGCTACCCTCCTCCTCGCTGAAGGAGTTGTCTTCCTTGCGACCTGTTGTATTTTGGCCAGTGATGAAGTCTATGCTGAAGTTGATCATGGCGGAGATGATTCAGTTCAAAGATAAACACCCGAGTGTTTGTTCCGATTGTCAAGATAGGATTGATGAGTGATCAAATGTTCACTGTGTACAGATGGAGCTCGATATGACAAGTGAGATCGCTCACGTTTATTTATAGTCAATTGGACGTCTGTGATTGGTCAAAGGAGGGGATGGGTCGTTCGTGTTTGTCACGCGCGGTGCCTGGCAGGTGATAATGAGAATGAATGACACACGTCAGAAGACAAGCTTGCATGTCGAGACGAATTTGTTTATGCTTTCATCTATTTGTTAATATTATCTTTTCTTAACGTTTAAATGTATTTGCACATTCATATTTCTTATATGAAATATCCGTAAGCCATAACATCTTCTCTTTGAATAAAATTGCAATGAAAACTCGCGCTCGTTAGGGAATGACTAAGTGTGACAACAGAAATTCTGATCAAAACAAAATATCTCCCGCAGTTACAGCAAGTGAGAAATACTTCGCTTCTATATGTTATTAATCCTTTTTATTTAAAGAATCTCTATAACTGGTACTTTTGGGAACATGTCGCACGGGGTTCCTAAGAGTTATTGATAAATATTAAACCCTTATCAGATAAAAGTCAGAACAAGGCATATTGTATTTTCATGCCGCGTGGAAAATACACATTAAATATGTTGTTGGGTTAAATAAACACAGGACATTATGAAGGATTAAATAAACATAGGATATAATGTAGGAAGGAGTAAGCATATACTCCGAAACGTTGTGTTCCTCATAATAAAGAAGCTGACATCAATAAATTCTCTTCCTTTTGTGTATCACTTCTAAATGCCTTACAAAGACTTTAGATGATGTAGGTTTAAATAAACATAACTCTATGCTGTAGATTTAAATAAACATAGGCTATGCTGTAGGTTTATTAGACCATTTACTTTACTTTACATCATTCAGTACAATATACTCAGTATGTACAGAGATATTTACATTGATGAACATTCAATTATTTAAAATATTACTGTTCAATATACATGTACATTCAACTATTTAAAATGCGTTTTTATTATATACAAAAATATCTACAATATTTGCTCGGGATAAATAACGTGCGGTTGTTTGTATATTTTGGAAAATAACCTTTTTTGGTAACTCTAAACTGTATGCCATTTGGGTAGACAGGATTTATGGTAACAATATCATCAGGGTATATTCTATAAGGAAATGATTTGGAAAGAGCTGTCAGCCTCTCCCTTCCTCGGACACACAAGAGCTACTCCCTTGACCCGAACGTTAAAGCCTGATATTGTTCCGTATGCAAATCATGGAACTTGAGTACTCTGTACTGACATATTTACAACTGACATACTTAATACATCAAGTCATCGAAACTGAACATCGGTTCTAATTCACTCTTTTCTTGTTATTTTAAGTTATACATGTGACAACGCCGCTTTTTACAGTATTCCAGTTATATCGCGGCACGTGAGCTTAATGTGGAAGGAAAGCCCGAAGTGATGTCAGGAAAAAACAGACAAGTATATGCAATGAGTACAGTATGTGTGTTAACATGCAATTGTGGAGAAACCAACCGCTGGTTTAACGCAAGTCATCTACGTATATGATATTATAATCTACGTAGAAGAAAGTATCATCTATTAATTGACTTTGGTAACAATAGTTCCGAAACAGTTTCATATAACCGCTGGGTTAATTTGATAATGACCAACTTGTCTGACTTTCAACCTCGACATGTCTTTATTAAGATACTGTCCATAAACATTAAATAAAATAACTTTATGAAGGACAGTTAAGGGATCCACATAAATTCTAACCATTACTAGTTGTTCGGGTTAACATCCGTGAACCAAACCGTAACGTGGGGAAATTACCTAACGGTGAGGAGGGTGACAGATGCCACACCCTCTAATAATTGTACTCGTACTAAAGAGAGGAGACGATAAAATGTTCCCCAAACTACAAATTCGCCTTGTTTCAAATTGATTAAAATTCCTTAAAAATGTAATTAACTCTCTTGAAATTAAACCATTATGATGACGTCACGTTTTTGTTGTTGCATTTCATTCTGAGCCAGGATTTCACTGGCTATTCTGAACGTGTATTTGGTGCAATTAAAACTGAAAATAATGCAAAGATTTAGCGACATTATATCAACCATGGTTTCAGTCGGAGAAATCCGTTGATTCTCGGGATTTCTCTATTAAGGAAATTAGGTTTAAGAGGTGGAAAGTGAATATGAAGGGGTGAAAATCACTCGAACTATAAAAACTATAACAAACTAATACTCGTCATCATCAAATAAGCACTCAAAGTACAATTCTACAGTGTTGTGACATGAATTTATTTGTACTTTATCTTAGCGCTGATAGTTTGAAAATATCAAATGATCTCTTATCATTATTTAAGTAATAACTTGTATTTAAAATATAAATGTGTGTATAAACTATATCCATCTTTTCAACTTCACAAAGCAATATCACTGCCTCTTTTAAGGTGACTTTTGTTGCCATAGTCAATGCTGAATAAATAATTTCCTGTAAATAAATAATTTATAAGTATCTGATGGAGACGCCAAAATGTGAAAGATAGCTTTTATTGACAAAATATATCTATATCACAATCTTAAAATTCAGAACATGTAACCATAGTTTACCAATTGAAACCGGTCGCTTGAATTATGTAAAGAAAGAACTTCGTGTATGTGAACTGTGCATCTCTCCTTCACGTGCAAGCGAATTCCATTATTTGTTTAGATGCCAGGTTCTGTTAAAATATAGACCTACCAGAACAAACGGTCTTATTGCCCTGTCAAAACGCTAGAGAACTTAAGAAACTATCGAGATTTATCGATGAAATATTTAAGGCTTTAAGAAAACACAAACCAGAAAATATATGATTATCCATGCATGACTTCCTGTCATCTTGTCATACATCAATAATTTATGCGTACATGATTATTTTTTAACCTCTTTTGTACCACCGCAGGTGGTTTGAAGACAATTAAACTGTTCTGTTCTGAACTGTTATTCAGAAAGCGGGTTAAAACCAAGAAAGTGGGTATGCTTTCTTTGGAAATAGGTCGTTCGAGGAGTTTACAAAGTAATATATATAGTCGCAGCAATAGTAAGGATTAGAGGCGCCCATTGATCAAAGTTCTTGTATTAATCGATTGCGTCTTTGAAATGATGAACTGATCATGTTATTACCGTGCTGAGTAAGACGTGCACCACGCCACTATTTTTATTTTGATACTAATATTTTCTTTATTTATTTCACTAAATTTAAATATATTTAATCATCACAAGTTAGTGAGTGAGTATGGTTTTATGACGCTTTTAGAAATATTCCAGCAATATCACGGCGGGGGACACCAGAAGTGGGCTTCACACATTGTACCATGTCGGGAATCGAACCCGGGTCTTCTGCGTGTCGAGCGAACGCTTTAACCACTAGGCTACCCGACCGCCCTCATCACAAGGAATATCGTTGAAATAAAGAACATATTCGTAAGGTTTTCGTTTATACTGGCAAATTGAGACTTTCAGTTATCTAAATCTTCCAACAACACCACCACCAACAACAACAACAACAACAATATCATTACCAACAACATCCCCAACGACAACATACCCTTCCCAATCCTCTATTAATACAAAATATGTGTTCTATTAAATGAAGAATACAGAAAAAATATAACATTTTCATCTAGTTTTCTTCTTGTTTACTGTAAATGAACATGGAGTCAGTGCTTGAATATATGAACTCTTGGATTTTAATGTATAATAGGTGTAGCGTGTTTTGATGCAAAGTATACACGATTCTGCAGCTGAACTGGGTGTGCCTCTGGTATTTACAAATGCAACTGTGTTTGGCGTGTTCGATTTAACGTTTGCTTTAAAAATGTTCGTAGCATATATTTTCTTTAGTGTTTGCATTATAAACAAATTACTTGTGATAACTTGTATTTACCATCTTGCAAACAAAGAAAAAACACGTCGTGGTCTTGAATTTAAAACGTGTCAGTTTGCAGGTCGATTGGACTGTATCGGCACTCATTGCATTGTATTTCGGGGAGGTAATGAAAAGTGTTTCAAACATCAAACCCTTCGCTTTAAATACATTAATTAAATCGGAATATAACCATTTGTATACATATACACTCTTCATTCATGCAGATACAGTTGTTGACATTTGTCTGTTTCAGGGTGGCACGACACTTGATTTGTGATCATAACACAATGCCTTTAATTAATCAGTCAAGATGTGGTCAAACCGTCAAGTGCTTTTCATTAACCCACTCCTAACGCAATGCTGACACACGCTGTGGTCCTCGTTGTCTCGTTCGTCAATATGGTGTAATTAGGAGAATGGCACGAGCAGGGTCGACGCATGTATTGTTCGTGATTTAATAAGGCGTATGTTTAGGCATGGAATCTGTATATGAAGCACAAAGCACGTCCGAGGTTTCTTTCTGATATTTAAAACCTAAACCAAAACCAAGGGGCGATATTTAAAACCTAAACCAAAACCAAGGGGCGATATACTTTCCCCGTGTATGCATGTATTCCATCTCATGAAGACACCTATGCCATATGTTTTGTCCGCCTTATAAACCGACTTTTACATCACGAATATCTACGTGTATCACTTATATTCGAAAAAGGCGGGTGTGGATCTGTGTCATGATAGGGGAAGTGGGTTATGGGTGTGTGCGTATCTGTGACATTGTGGGGGAAGCGGGGTGTAGGCAGGTGTGAGTCTGTGTCGGTATGGGGGAAGTGGGGTGTAGGGGTGTGCGTGTCTGTGTCAGTATGGGGGAAGTGGGGTGTAGGCGGGTGTGAGTCTGTGTCATTGTGGGGGAAGTGGGGTGTAGGCGGGTGTGAGTCTGTGTCATTTGGGGGAAGAAGGGTGTAGGCGGGTGTGAGTCTGTGTCAGTATGGGGGAAGTGGGGTGTAGGGGTGTGCGTGTCTGTGTCAGTATGGGGGAAGTGGGGTGTAGGCGGGTGTGAGTCTGTCTCATTGTGGGGGAAGTGGGGTGTAGGCGGGTGTGAGTTTGTGTCATTTGGGGGAAGTGGGGTGTA